TTCTCAGATTTTTAGATAGGCACTGACGTCTTCTTTATCTTTTCTTGCTGATGTTAATTTTCATTAAGTATGCACTTAGTGGAGTTGATGGAGGGGAAAGACGATGATAGATCGATTCAAACGGGTTTGTAATATAACTACGGGGATAGCTAGTACTTAGCATAGATTTATTTTTGATTTATTTTGTATTTCCTTATATATAAATTTAATAAAGTTACTGGCAGTGCCACATCGTTAAAAAAAAGAAATATAATAGAAATGAAATGGAAAATAATAGAAATATAACGAGAGTATAACAAATATAAAATAATACATTTATAATATATATGTAACTTTAAAATATAATAGTTTACCATCTAGCTGATCTTTGATAATTAACATAATAACCATTTTCGATTATGTTAAATTCTTGACCTATTTCATTTTTTGAATAGATTACATCTCTTTAATATCAAATTTGATGTTTAAAAGATTACAGAGGATTATTAATAAAAGAATCACAATAACGAATTTAAAATAAGGTAAATTATTAATATTGCAAGAATTAAAAAAACAAACTAAAATTAAGTCTAACAATCAATATATAAGATTATAAAATTATATAATTAAGTTATGAAATAATTTGGTAATTAGATTATGAAATGATAATATTAACATTATTATACATAAATATGAATAGTCAAGAAAGAACTAAAGAAATAGCTAGAATGCTAAAAAGGATAACTAACAATAAAATAATAAGAACATAAGAAGAGTATATATGTTTTACTTAAGTTATATCAGTCATACTAATCTAAGTGATATATTATGCTTTAATATAATTATATTAAAGTGTAATATATCATTATAAATTATATATTTATTATTAAATATTAAGCAAAATTAAATTATTTATTTATAATAAATACTTTTATTTATTTATAATAAATACTTTTATTTATTTTTAAATTTGAAATAATAAGTATTATTATTATATAAATGTTTTTAATTAATATATTGATAAATTGTTATTCTATTAAGATAAATTAAATAATACCATTTTTAATGAAAAGTGATTGACAATGACTAACCCCTTATTTTTTGAAAGAATAAAAAAAGGAATTTAAAGTAAGAGAGGTATTAATATTGTTAACCAACAATGTAATGAATTTTTTTCTGGAACGTTACAAACATTGATCTCCACCCAAAATCTTCATCAACTTTCATAATTGAAGATTTAAAAATGTGACATCAGAAGTGTGTTTACTATATATTTATTTGTGGGATGGGAACATTCTTCATAGAATAATTTCATTCAGTAATGTTGACGCCGCAAAAAGGCGTTCGTAACCTGTATGAAAATTTATAATATACGCAGCATCATGCATCAATATAAATATGAACGCATGGGATTTACGGGAATACTCGTAAAAAGTGTTAAAGTTGTGTAACATCCTGTGAGTTTAAGTATATCTAATCTAAATGAAGTAATACAAAAAAACTCCATAAACCAACAAGAATAAGAATAATATACCCCAACTTCTTTTCATATTGTTTGTGCAAAAAAAAACCTGTAATTAAAAGTACATTTGTATAAAATTATGTAATAATATACTCTAGTATTTTTCTCTCTCCAAGAAATATTTTCAGTATTTGTTTTTTGAAAGTGATATTTAAATATAAAAAAGTTTTCTCACATTATATCTTATTTGGTACAAAGAAATAACACTTGTAATAATGACAAACCAAAATCACGAATTAATGGTTGTGAATGTCGAAGGTGAAGTGACAGCTGGAAACGGAAAGCAATATGAAACAACCTTGTCTCCTCAACCGTCTAGCAATGAACCTAAGGAGCAAGACTCTGTAAGCGAAAGTTACGAAATAAGTGATGATAAAAAATCGGTCATTACACCACAATGTAGTATCTGGAAAATTAATGACAATTTAGAAATAAAAAATAAACGAAAATCCGAAATTCCTCACAACCTTGACTTACCCCCAACTCCTACTTTCGCACCTTCTTCCTATTGTGACAATAACTCTCCAACTTCCTCACCATGTTTTTCGTCATATTTTGATATTTATCAAACAACATTCGATACATCTATTTCCTGTTCCGAGGGTAATTTACCTACTGATTCGCCCGACACGCCACCTTTATCTCCACCAGGATCACCTTTAATCGTTGAATCATCTTGTTCACCAAAGTCTCCTGATTCCGTGCTTAATTCCCCATCACTTCCTTTACTTCCTTTACTTAGTAATTTAGAACAACGCCACGTAGAAAATCGTCCCCGAAGAGTTTCTTTCAATAAAACTGTAACATTTATACCTCATATCCCACCTCCACCAAACAAAATTCGAAAAAAGCTCACTAGAGAGGCAAGTTTGAGACAAAAAGATCTGGTTGTCAAAGTTGAAGATTTGGGTAAAGTTAGGTTAGATGGTAAAAATGGTCGTGTAATTAAAATTGTACCTAATGTTTTTCCAGGACCTTTGAATGGAGAATATGGACAATGTGGTGTCATGTTAAAAGATGTTGATGTTTCAATGGAAATTTCTTCACCGAACACTTCAAAAAACTGTGACAGCAATGAAGATGAAGATGAAGAAGATGTATTATACATTACGGCTGTACCAATTGTCGAAAAAGATAAAAAGTTGCGTCTTGGAAAACATTTCAAACGATATTATAATAAATTAGTTCAATAAAAGTTAGATTATTTATTATGACATTAACTTTCATATAATTAATTATTAGATTATAAGTATAATCTTGGCATTAGCATTGCATTGGCATTCTTTTTCTCCTTTTTTTTAAAAAAAAAAAATGGAGAGACACATTATTGAAAAAAGGAGAATTAAAAAATCCAGCTATTTCTCAGAAATTTTTAAAACATATTATTATTATAATTATTATTATTATATTTATTTTCTTAAGGCGAAGATGTACGCGATATTTACAGAATCCACTATTTTTTTTTTTTTTTTTTTTGTACATATGTTCACTCGGATTTTCACATTCTTTTTATTCTTTTCCCAAATCCTTTGTATATTTCGGTGTATAATAAGTTTCATTCTTTAGCTACTCCAAAACAAAAAAAGTAAATAAAAATAAATAAATAAATAAATGAATATTATGCATCTTTCAGTATTTTCAGTATAAATATATTTTTTTATTGTTTACTCCTTGTTTCCGCAAATATTTCTTAATCAATCCTAAATTTTTCTTCAATAGGAATCAAACGACGTGTTCTTTTACTCGTCTTTTTCTTTATCCTTTCCGCATAAAACTCATAAGCTAAGGAATGAGTTTCTGGTGGAAAAGGTGAAGGAATCTCACTTCTTCCGGGTCTAGAAACTGGATCTCTTAAAAATACGACAGAACAATTATTAAAATTGACTTCTAGATATTCTGGAATAAATAAGAAAGGTTGCATGAATGGTATTGGCTTGAATGTAAAACCCTTTGGTGTAATCGGATCAATGAGGAAAGGTATAGCATGCGGATTAACACTGATAACATCACCATCTTTAGCTAGATATGATGGAGAAGAAATCTATAAAAAGAAAAAAAAATTTTTTTTTTTTTTTTTTTGAAATTTCTAATTGATCATTTTAGTTAAAAACTATTATACCTAAAAATTAATTTCTAAATTACCTTTTTGCCATTTACATTAACTTTTCCGTGAACGACCATTTGTCTAGCCGCCCAAATACTACTAGCAAAACAACTTCTAAATACAATAAAATCCAATCTCCTTTCCAGACTAGCATAAGTTAAAACTGAAACCGGAGGATGTTTCGCTTCCTCTTTACCGCTTAAACTCGTAGATAGTTTTGGTTCAAATAATCTACGAAATTGTCGTTCATTCAGTTGAGCTCCATGATAAGCTCTTGTATCCTTTTTTGCTTGCCATTTTTGTTGAAATAAAGTACGATTTTGTAATCTTGGTGGATAATTGCCACGTTGATGAATAATGAATAAATTTTTTTTGGACCATGACATTCGAATTAAACCTCGTGAAAAACTATCTTTGGGTTTACGCATAATTAGATTATCCAAAAAAATAAAAAAAAAATTTTTTTGCCTATATTCAGAAGTTGTAACTGTCACGTGACTTCCAGTAAATCTCAAAATATTGATTCGAGCCTTTTTTTTTTTTTTTTTATTAAAAAACGTAATTAAATTTTAAAAAGCTTTTTTTTTTATTAATTTTTAATATTCAAATATTATTAGTAGAGATATGTGTATGCTTCTTTTCTTAAATTGCTTTATATATAAAATATACTGATTTGTGAAAACAACTAACTAAACTTCACTTTTTTTTGATATAAAATATATATATTTTTTTTTTGAAATATTTTACCAAAAATTAGGCTCATTTGATATTTCACATAATATTAAAATTTGTGTTAAATTACTACAAACTTGTATATAAAAGCGTTATTATAATATTGAAAGAATTAAAAGTTGCTAACATATTTATATAATATATTTCACTTGCTTTGAAGAATCTTTTATAATACATAAAATTTAGTTGATATAAAGAATAAAAAAAAAAAGTTGTGACCTTTTTAACAAAGGTTATATATTCACTCTTTAATAAAAAAAAAAAAAAATAAAACTTTGTGATATTGAGATATATGTATTTTCATATATTTTTTGATAAAGTAATTTTTCAAAATTCTGTAAATCCCGTGATCATACAAACAGAAATAAAATTATAAAAATTAGCTTTTTTTAGTATCAAGTACTTTCCGTATATCGCCATTACCATGACTGAAAAATTAATAGAATGAAATATTAATCATTAATATCCCCGTTTTACTAATTGTTCGCCCATCTGAAAATCGTACTGGTAATTTTATAACGATGAATTAATTTAATTCAAAATTGATAAATAATTGATATTTTTAGAATATAATTTACTAATAAATTATTAAAGACTAAATGTAAAAGATATTAATAACTATTAATGGTTAAAAATCCTAGTTAAAAACATCTTGAAAACGGGCATTCACTAAATATTTGTTATTGTTATTATTAGGACGTAAATAATGATTTATATAATTTGAGGAATTTTGTAAAGGATGCATATTATAATTTCGAATTTGTTGCTTGATCCATTAATTTCTTGTTTTTGAATTTTAAAATCTTGATGTAAGTTTGTAGATAATTTGGTATTTTATATCATTGCTCTGTATTTTGTTATTTTGATAAAATAAAATTTTTTTTTAAATTTCAATATTTTTAGAGGTTTTAGATGTTAAATATGGATTATGGATTATGGATTATTTAGAAGCTTAGGGCAATATTAAATTGTATAAATTTTTTATAGTGAAGGAAAAAAAAAATGATTACTGAGAAAATTTATTTTATTATCACGGGAGTTAAAAAAACCATGAAATATATTAGTTATTAAATGACACTCAATTAGATTTTTGCTGGCGTATCACCAACTTTTGTAGGTATATAACTCATTTGTTTTTGATATGTGTCGATAGTAGATGGTAACGTAAAATCTTTAATTTCTTTAAAATAATGATTTAATAAAGCATTCTTTGCTGCCTATATGAACCGTGAAAAAAAAAAATTCAATTAAAAATTTTTTACACAGTGATTTTATGGATAAAACTAGTAATAATTAATTACTCTGTGTTCGGCCATTTTAATGCTACTTCCAAAACCTTCAGCTAATTTTTCGGTACCTGAATATGTACCGATAACGAAAATAGGTTCTTTTGTTTTACGACCGGCTTCATGTAATAATCTATAATATGTTGAAAAATGAATATATTATATTAAATACTCAATATAAAGGACCTAACAATATAAGGAATATATAAATGCCTAGATATAGGTTGATCCCGTTCAAGACGTTTCATCAGCGCAGATAAATGTCTCTTCGGTTCTTTAACATCATATAATTTTTGAATGGCAAATTCTCTTGATAATAAGTGATCGTGAACAAATGTTTGTGCGGAATTTGGTCCCTAATAATAGAATAAAAATCAAATGATAAATTTCAAATAAGATTATACTGTTTTTACCGCTAACTTACCTTGTCCAAATACAATGCGCCAACAATAGCTTGTACGGCTTGTGCCACAACACGACCTATCGTATAAGTAACTTTCCGTGATTTATACGCAACTTGGGATTCATTTGTATCCGTAGATTCCGATTGTCCATCATTTTCAGGAGTGCTAAATACATCTGTCGACTAAATGAACTTTAATTTGATAAAAAAAAAAACAAAACAAATCATACAGAGGATAAAAGGTCTGGCGAACCAACCTTGTTCCACCTCACAACATAATTTAATCCAATCTCGTGACCAAGTGTCGCTAGTGTACTTCTCCCATTATAAACCTCCACCACATCTTTCAAATAATTTGTATGTAATAGTGGATACTTTATGTGAAAATATTCTGTAAGGTACAACTGTATTGCGCAATTCCCTAATTGAAATAAAATTATATTAATTTGTTGAATTTATTTCAGTACACAATTTCTAAAGATAACTATACCTAGTTCTTTAAAACTTTTGTTTGATGGTAAATTAGTATCTGTAAAACTTTTGTGCGTGACGGCTTGTAATAATATTTTTGGGTCAGAAAAATCAAGATGCATACGCGCCGCAAAAGCGTATAATGCTGGTGTTATTACATCTTTTTGATTATTGTTTTGTGTAATCTCTTTTTGCTCTAATTCTTCATTATACATCGTGCTAACATCTGAAAGAGAACGAGTTCTATCAAAATATATACGTTGTGAAAATAATGATAAAGTATTTCTATTGAAAATTGAGAATCTTTTAACCATCGAAAACATTTTTTTTTTATTCAAAGATTGATTTTTTAAATATTTAATTAAATTATTTAACAGATTAACCATAACTTTTTGTAATAAAAAAAATTGATTATTAAATCATTCTTTTTTTTTTTATTAGCTAAAACATTTCAAACAGAAAAATTTTTTAAAAAAAATTTCGAAGATAATCTAATCCTTCACGTGGTATTTTTTTATGATCGACCTATGTCGATTTTAGGCAATAGAAAGGGGGGAAACTGCCGGGAAAAATAAAAAACGAGTTCATGCTAATTCTGGCCTGGAAATCATATTTGGTAAAATTGAATTATTGATTTTTTCCCATGCCTGCCTTTATACACTGTAAATTGACTTTAAAGCTGACGCGTTATATAAATTATTATTATTATTTTTTTTTTTTTAACAAATATTAATTGTTTTATTGTGATATTTAAAAAAAAAATTACTAATGGAAAAGTACATTTATAAAAATAAGTAACATTACAAATCAAACTACTTTTTAAAATAAAAATTAAGCCAAATATCTAAGTATTGATGAATCCTCAGTATCTCTTTCTAAATATTCACGCTCTATGAGAGATTCTACACGTTTCTTAATATCTGATACCTAATATAAAGAAATAAATTATTTAAATTTCGCAATTTTAGATCATATTTGATTGTTTAAAATTTTAATAAGTTTACCTGTGCTTTAAACTTCAATTGTGACAACAATTCTGAAATTAACTCATTGTGACTAAGTGTCTTTCGCATTTTCATTATTCGGACTAATGCGGCATCCACTTGGTATTGACGATCCAAGAAGACACGCTCATTAGTTTCTTGATTTTCTTCCAACTATTCAATGGATGAAATAAAAGTTAGAATAAGGAGAAATATATAAAAATTCTGACGGTTCTCCTTCATTTACCGTTTCTTTCATTTGAATAGCATTGACTTTAATACGGATTAATTTGACATCAAAATTTTCGTCCACGATAAATTCATCAGTGGTGTTCACATCACGTCCCTTGGGAAATTTTTTGAGGACACGAACTTTACCACAAGCTAGTGATTGTAATGTACGATCAAGCTCTTTTTTCTCTAAATGACCGAATAAATTTATATTAATGATCATTCTAAAAACGTATTCAAGCGAATAATTCCTAGATCACAAACCAATTCCCGTTTGTTCTTTAATATGCTCGTATGAGATTTTTTCTTTTTGTTTCAAGTCATTAAACTGCAATAACACTACTGCTTGGAATAAGCTTACTACTAATTCCTTATTACCCTATAAAATAATTGAATAAACAAATTTAATGAATAATTTAAATTAAACTTGAAAAAAAAAACATTAATATTTATTACTTTTTGAAACTCTGCTGCTAATAAGCAATGACCTAAAGAATTTTGCCACTTTAAATTTCGACCTCCATGTTTGCTAAGATAAAACTCTTTAAATACTTCTTGACAATCCGCCATCTAATAGAAAAAAAATGTGTCGATGAGTTTGTTATAATAGAAAATAATAACATTATTTAGTAGATATCATATAACTCACAACAGGTGGCAGGATGAGAGGCGCTGGCGTATATGTAGGCCAAAATCCTTGGGTCAGTACATTAACATAAAGATCAATTTTTATATTTGTTCTTAGATTTTCTGAGATTCTCGAGTGCTGAAAACGATAATTTATGTTAATATATACTTGCATTCAAAATTTATATTACAGGAGGAATCGTATTTAAGCGTACGTAAAAAGAAGTCATAAAATCCCGAGAGAGATCAATGTCTTTAAACATGCCCTCTAGTTTGCTCGTGAATGCCGGTCCACATTCTGTTAAAAAAAAAAAAATTCAATTTTAAACACGAGAATTTTTAATAAGCAAAAAAAAACATAAATTAGACAGATCAATTGAATTTACCTTTTCTCAATTTGGACAACATGCTCTTCTCATAGTCGAATGATGCACTTTTGTTAAGCAAAAGACGTTTAGCAAGATCACGCTTATAAAAAGCTTCGAATATATCCTTCCCTATTAAAGAAGGAATAGAATTGTGTGAAATTCAAATCATTAACTATAGAGTTAAATAACAAAGTAAAATAGTACCTTGAATATATCTGAACAAAACCAGCACTTCATCCAACGTCTTTTCGATTTCTGAATCATCCATACGTTTATTACCAAGTTTTAGTTTCAAATCGACGTATTTAGCTAGTAAATAATTAAATAACATGTTAAAGCATGTTAAAGCTTGCCAATATATAGTAACAAGAAGGGGAATATCACTTGATTTTACCAATAAGTTCAGCAGGCTTATTTTGACGTTGATTGATGAACACTTCAAAACTCTCTTTTACAGTATGTGCAAAGTTATAATTTCTATCAAATGATATGGCGACAATACTATCCATTTTTTTCTTCAGCGCAAGTAAATCTTCAACCATGGTCGACTCTTGATCAATATTGTTAACTATTCCAGAACCAGTTTTCTTTAAATAGAATAAGTCATTTAATACTTTCGTTTGTATTAATTCTAATAAATTGATATAATCAAATATCTAACCTTTATATAACTTCCAAAGTAAAGACGCAGACGATCAAGAGCGTTGACTCTAGCTAAAAGATCGTATAACCTTCCTAATTCTTGTATATGCTCATCTGAATGTTGATCTTCCATCATGTCATTGAAACCTAAGTTACAAAAGAAAAAATTTAATGCTTTTATATTATAATTCACAGATCAAAACACAATCCTAACCTTTATCCAAAAGAGCATCGACATGTCTCTTTATTAATTCATCATCCACAACTTTTGTTAGTGGATTTTTCGTTTTCCAATCCAAATATTGAGAAATTCTTTCACTTTCCTCCTTCAAACGTTTCTTTACATGTTTTAGATATCTTGGAACGGGGTACTCATTTATAAGACGCAATCCTTCATGATGATAATAACTACGGGTTTCCGACAAAAATGGATTTTCAAAACTAGGACAATAAGTGCCAAGGTCAATAAACATGTGAATAAGGGAATGCAAAAGACTACGGTCGACGGAATCTCCGTTTCTATGATCAAAAATAAACAGAACGTAAATATGTATATGTAAAGAGTTTAGTAATGAATAAAGATTGGCATTTAGTACGAGTAAGAACCTTCATATATTTTTTTCTCTTTTACCTTTCACGTCTGATGAATGTAATTAAACCATTTATAGTCTTCTTTTTTATATCACCTGCTGACGATGACATAATTTGTTTTTTGAAAATTTCAAGTCCCTTATCCCTAAATTGATCGAATAATGACAATCAATACTATGATAGAATATCGAAAGAGGTAAAGCATTTAGTACGGGCTTTACATGCTAACCATATTGAAATGACTCCAGATGTCTGAAGCACATAAGTTCGATCAAGATATAAAAATATACTTCGGATAAGACCCTACATTAATCATTCGGTCAGTTGAATAATAACATTGGGAAACAAGATCAAGTTGAACTAATAAAGTATACCATTTGTTCACAATGTGCCATCCAACATTTATTTACAACTATGAGAAAGGTATCGTTCTCATTTAAATTACTGAAAATAAAAATACATAAGAAACTGTTATCATACATTTAAGTAAAAGTAAATCCAAAGAAGTAAATGATTTAAGACTTACCTCACAAGCTTGGTCTTTTCCTCTTTCAAATGTTCTTCGATCTCACCCGCTAATCTATTATAAAGCGACGAAGCCATTTTATGCAAACAAAGATTCTCACAAGCTTTATAAAGTTCTTCAAGGCTAGTACCAATGCGTTGACAATTAAAGATAGCTTGAACTGCTGTCCGAAGCTTTGACCATGTCTCTTCTTCATAATTAGCTGGCAGCTTTGGTTTATCTATTAAAATTAATAATTCTTATTAAAAATTTCATAATATCCTTATGATTCAAATTTCATACCGTTCAACTCAAACTTACCTTTTAGACCTTTAATAACTAACTTTTTGATTGGTTGCTTTTGATGTCCTTGTCGCACTGAATCATTTGGTCTATCGGGAATTGGTTTATGTGAAGGAAAAATCAAATCTTTACCATGATTAACAAGATCATATTTTTTCGAAGTTTTTCCTATAAAATTATCATATGAAGAACTACTAGACGCGGCAGCAGCGGCAGCAGTAGCAGATGATGATGAACTCGGCATTGGAGTATAAGTAGGATTATCTAAACGAGTACGCTTTATTGCTCCACCACGTTCTTCATCATTATTATTATTATTGTTAAAATTGATGTTGGCGATACGATTTATATTGGAACGTGAAGTCTTATCAATAGTGTTTTGACGTGAACGTGAGCTCATCCTTTTTTTTTTTTGATGGGTTCTGTTATAATGCGTTTCTAGGCGTTATGACCACAAACTTTTAAATAAATGAAAGAACGGTCAGAAACTAACAAAAGTATTAGTACGCGACGAATAAACTTCACAGATAAATGGAAACGGCGTTGTATTACGTGGTTGAGAAAGAGTGTTTCTAAGCACGTGCAATAGTGAGAACCACCGTAAATTTTGTTCCAGGCAAAAAGATCGAGACCTAAATGTTGGAGAAAAGCATACGTGTCGATTGTTATAAGAGTTTATACTTGGATCAAAAGGTACTCGAAAATGGTCAATAAAAACTCACAATATTTTATAGTAAATGTTTTATTTAAACGTTTTTACTCTTGAAAGCCCAATGATAAATTAATTTAAGAACTCTTTTTTATTTGTAAGAAACGTAAATTACTCCAACTTTTTCGTAGACCGTCCGTCATATCATGACCTGAACGATCTACATAAATTTTATTGGTTGAATCTTGTGTAATCAATTTAATTAAATTAAATAGCGAATTTTAGATTTCTTTCTTTTCAACTTTTCGCATCTATCCTAATGGTAAGTTTTATCAATAAATTCGTAATGGCCGTCTTCTTCGGATAACAATACTGAATCATTTTTGAACTTCAATATAGGCCAAACGAACAAAGAAGGTTAATTTTAATAAATCATTTTTAATTTATTAAGGAAAAATAACGACGTGATTTTTTTGATTTCAATTACGAATAGGTTGGAGTTGTCGGTAAATATGGTACCCGTTATGGTGCCTCATTGAGGAAACAAATCAAAAAAATGGAAATCACACAACATGCAAAATATACCTGTAATTTTTGTGGCAAGGTACGTGATATAATGCCTCGAGGTTTTCTTTTTTTGTTTTTTTTTTTTTTTAAAAAAAAAAAAGGAAAAGGAAGAATTAGATCTTACTACTTGAATTGACTTCACAAATAACCGACTTAAAAACATATTTAAATTAGGATACTGTTAAGAGAAAAGCCGTAGGTATCTGGCATTGTCGTGCATGTAAAAAAGTATTAGCAGGTGGTGCATGGACCGTTTCGTAAGTCATCATAATTCTTTTAATTCTCATTCCTTTATTCATTGAAAAAAAATTCATCTCTCACATTTCCCATTGATTTCAAATAGAACCACCACAGCCGCTACAGTTCGTTCAACTGTTCGTCGTCTTCGAGAAATAATGGAATCTTAATGAGATTACAAAAACTTTTATTTTTTATAACAATAGCAGTTAATTATTTTGTATTTGCACGATAATTATAATAAAATGGATATCGAAAGATTATTTTATTAATCAGAACATATTGAATGCTATGCAAAAGAATTTATTTATTTTAAAATGATTTTTATCTATTCGTATATCTATGATACACTATTCAGACGATATGGTTTAACTTCACTTTCACGTGACGTTGCAACGGTATCCGTCTTCCATATCTCCTCAGGTGGTGGGTCGGGTCTAAATGAGACACTAGATGAAGGTATTCCTTCAACGACCCTTCTCGTGATTATGGATTGTTGAATAGGTTGCTGTTTTTGTCGGAACGTTTGTCGTTGTTTTTGACTTGTGGTGGTATTTTGAATATTATTAATAAGTGGTTTCTTTAGTAAAGGTTTTAACAATTTTTCAAATATTAAGGTGGCACCTTTTGAACGATCATTTTGTGCCCAATATAGAAATATCAACTTAAAAAAATTGTATCCTGGAAATGTTTCTAACAACCAATTTGACCAATTATCAGCTATTTGTAACCATCCATACACTACCCAATAAGTTAGCCATTGCTTTTGTTCATTAAAAGCTATAATTGATGAATTTGAAGCTTCCCCTTTCTCATTATCATTTGTTGAAAGATCAATTGCTTGAATTGATTTATATGCAGGATATACCACACCAACTAAATTACATAAAAGATAAACAGATTTCTTATACATGCTCCTAACCATCATTCCCGAAAAGATCATTAAAGCCGCAAATAAATAGACTTGCGGAATCCCCAGTTGAACAAACATTTGGAATAACCATATTTTAGAGATTTTATTTTCGAAAAATGATATTCTAGAAACAACTTCTTGTCGAATGAAATTTGTTATTGGCGTAAGATTTAAAGGACTATTGAATTCGAGATTTTGTAAAACTTTCTCAACTGTTGCAGTCGTTGGTAACCTCGGTTCTTCGCCAGTTTCTTCCGAACCTTCATTCGAAACCATTTTCTCGTATGAGGAATTTTTTTTTATAGTTTGTTTATTTTTTTTTTTTATTTATTTATTACCACATTTTCAAATAGATAATCTGCAATCTCACGTGAGCTAAAAAAGCTAAAATGATGTTGATCTTTAGCGTGACGCGATAACTATCATTGCTTATAAAAAGGTGGTTTCAGATATCTTTTATATCTTTTATATATTTTGTGTTGAAGAAGTTGAAATGTCGTATATGCAGCCTCACATTGGTATTTTTAGTGCAGCTCCGTTTTTTTATTCACAACAGCCCAGTCAACCAACCTTTATTAGTTCTCTACCTGAAACCAGGTTAAATGGGTCATTTCAGAATACGAAAAACAATAACTCTGTAACCCAAACAATAGAGACTAAGCAAACTGTGGTTGATAGGGAGATCATAGTTTTATCTTCAGATTCTGAATCAGATACTGAAACTAGAAGTCCTGTTGTGTCTAGAAAAGCGAAAGGTAAAGAAAAAGCAGATGTTGTTGATATTAATAAAAATTTGGAGGATTCCGCATCTATTATAGTAGATCAAACTCAAACTTCAAATATGGATCTTATGCCAAATGCTACTTCAACATTCACGCGTAAAAATAGAGCTTGTACTAGCAAAAATCTTCTTGATGGTTATGATTTAATGTCAAATATGGAAAACCTTTCATTCTTCCAAATGGTTAACCCGGTTAGGGTTTTTTTGTATATATTGGAAGATCATAATACCATTGTTGAGTTATTTGACATCATAGTCGACTTTGCTCGAATTTATCTTGAGATTTATCGTGAAGATAATCGAAATGTTTTAAACTTATACGATCCTCAAACTCTTATTCCTGATTTGATCTATTGCTTAAAGTCAAAAATGAAAGGTAACTTTATTATAGTCACAAACTTTTTTAATTTTTGTAAATTTATGGATTAAATGATAATGATAATGATAATAACTTTGTATTTAGTTAATTTCTACGTGAATACATCGGAAAGATTTAAGAAGGTCGAACTGCTTGCGCGAAAGGCTATTGAAGTAATTGAACAATTAAAAGAAACAGGTTGAAAATTTATGCCTAGGGGATCGGTTTCCTTTTATACTTTACATTTTCTTTATATTTAAAGATGACCTATTGAGATGATGATTGTTATATCATTATTATTTGTAATTATTATTTATATTATAGACGAGATGAAAAGGGTAGCATTTTATAAGAAAGTTTATGAAAGAAAAAGAAAAAATGATGAAGGAGAGAATTCACAAGAGAAACGAAGAAAGCAGGATCATGATAGTTCTGAAGATGAAAACCGATCACAGGAAGTAAGAAAAGAACGCGCAATGGAAATGGTAAAAACAAAGTGGTTAGAGATGGAACAACAAAGAAAGCTTCAAGGAAATGTGAATAGAGTTCCACCATCCAAGAGACTTAAACATCCATCTATGCCATCATCACGTTCGAAGTTCACTTCATGTGATATCCTCTTTTCTCAGCAAAGAAAGAAAACTAATGATAATTATGATGATTTAGTGGAATTATTATCTGAACCTTTACATGAACTGATTACAGCTCATACTGTGTATGGATTATTTGAGAATTTTACTCCCTTTCAACTGAGTGAAACCGTTGACAAATGTAAAGTCCGTAGTATATTCAAATTTAATAATCCTGAAAGAAGAGAGTACTGTAAACTATTGTATCATCAATACATCAAAACTAATATGGATAGTACAACTAAATCTCTCGGGAGTTGGATCAATTCTTTAATATTCGAAAGCATTAAGTTTGGTCATGTCAGTGATAAAGCACATCTCCACAACTTTATGCATAGGCAAACACCTTGATATAATCTGTATGTAAGCAAAATTATCTATGATCGTTTTATAATATTTGATATATAGTAACTATTTATCTAATTTGTTGCAATAACCAAATTTAGATTCTTAATAAGATAGGAAGACTTAGATGTCCCCCTCGTATGCTGGGGGGGGGGGGGGGGTTTAAAAAAAAAAGTATCCTTTTCTCCATTTGAATCTCTTTGTTTTTACTTTTGAATTTTTTTCCTTACAACTTTCTAAAAAGGAATAAATAGCAACTCTTTATGTTCTTTGTATATAAAATCATATTCTTTTATAATACTGTATTTTATCACGCTATGTATTACTGCGCCCTTGTAACAACAGAAAAGTGATAAATCAAGCATTTTTTTTTTCCGTTCACATCGGGGCTTTGTCTTATTTATATGTATGCATTATGCAGGTATCGGAAAAATATTTCGTATACATATTGTAATAGCGCTTTATTGCACGGACGAAAATTAACCACATATTTTTGAATTCAAAGTGATAGACTGAAGAATTATTCACGCTCATGTAATTTTTTTTATGTATATGAATGTATTTAATACGGGACATATATGAAAAAGGCAGAATCGAATCCTACTCATCCCAATTCCAAATGCGTGCTCCAATCGCGAGAGGATCATCAGTTGCCTTAGTAAAATCGAAGACCACAAAATTCCGATCTAGCAAAAGTTTATCGATCAACTGTGCGAAGTACTTTAAAAATGATCATAAATCTTTCGAAATATTTTGACCGTTAATATTGCATAAAAGTCACAAATCATAATCCTTGTAAAATACTATAAATATTATGTAACTTTATGATAATACTTTCATAAATTACAAACCGTATATCTTATACAATATTTCATATTAAAAATATTCCTGATGTATATATATCTTATCTATTTTTGACTAAACATATCTTGGTATTTCATTATATAATACTTGGATAATACTTTTCTAATAGGTAACCTATTTACTTCATATTTACTGATAGTAATAATACTAAATACATTCTTATTTATTAGTATTACTTTGATTAATAAGCAAAAAACAGTTATAAATATTATAAGTATCAAACCTTTCTTTATTATAATACCTAAAAAATACCTTTATTTATGGTTAAAATTAGTTTAGTAAAAATATTATCAAATGCTTTCTAAAGCAGTAATGGGTTTTTAAATATATTTTTTTGATTTTAAATAAGGTTTAAATATAAGAAAATATATCTAAACCCTATATAAAACCTGTTAAAAATTATCTAAAATTGTTTAAAGTTATCATTAAAACTATTAGTACCTTTTACTTTAAGAATATTATATAAAAAAAGATATCTAAAGCTCTTTTCATAAATCTAAAACTTAATTTTTAAATTATTTATTATTAAATTAAACTATATTTATATGAAAATTTATAATTATATGAGTCAAAATGTAAGCTTATATAAGTTATTTTTATAAAATTTTAAAAAATATTTATATATATTAGTATATAAAATCAATTTAATTTATAAATTATATAATTGTACTTAATCCTTATTAAGTAGTAAACTTTTATATTTATTTATTTATTTATTTCTAGTAAAAATATTTTTAATACTTAATTTACTTATGATTGTATTATATCAATAAAAAAAGTAAAATTATTTTTTACTATTGATTAATAATAAATATATTTTTAAAAATAAATTGTATTATTATCTTTTATTATAAATGATTATAAAATATTAAATTTTTAATTTTTAATATTTATAATTTAAATTAATTTAAATAAATAAAAATTTATTATAAAATATAAAAAATTAATTCTAGTAACAAATCTATGAAATATTTATTTATAATATTAAAAATCTAATCTTTCATATCATTTAATTTTACATATTCATTGTTATCTAACAAATTAAATACTTAAACAATTAATTAATAGTAAAATTTAACTCTAATTATTCATTAAATTTGAGAAAAACTTAAATAAAATAATAAATTTTATGAAATAATAAAATAAACATCACATGTCTTATATAAAAAATTATTCAAAATATTAGTTTACAAATTGAATCACTAAGTCAAAAAGTTTAAAAATATTATTAATTTAATAAATAAATAAAAATAATCATTAAAATTATAGATGCCTGCCGAAACCTTCTCAAAATAATTTCGTCATACCCTTTTCTATGTTTTTAATATAGTTTCAACAGTTTC